TTGTCACATTTTATGAGTAACAGGGTGAACAATGGCGGAGGAATGCTCATGTTGCAGTTTGTTTGAATGTCATGTGACTTGAAATCAGACTGGAGGTCTTGTGTTGGTTTTGTGGGATCTTGTTATGGTCTTGTGAAGGTTCTGAGAGGTCTGGACTATAACACTGATAAAGCAGTCTATGTTAAGCACCTTGTGACAATTGGCCCCTTGCCCTTTATACCACAGCACAATTCAGAATCACTCTCTGTACCTCAAAGTCTCTGAGTTGGTCTGCCCAGGCATTGCAGTACCACCGGCATGGCAGCATTGGAGCTGGATCCTGTCTTCGTCAAAGCCTTGGGTTTCCTGCGGTCTCGCAGCAAGGACTCCACGGAACAACTCAAGGTGATGCTGGATGAAGCTCTGGCTGAAACCGGCCATGGCAGGTTCAGTAAGCAGGTTAGTGAAACACCGGTCATTAGTCTCCATACCAGACGTTCGGGCACGGTTAAGGATAGCACCATAGCATGCTTAAAACATAGCCTACCCAATATCCCATGTGTTACAAGTTGAGATCCTGACTTTGTGTGGCAAATTTTTAATCAATCTGAAATTCTCTGGTGTTCTGAAACAGGTAAATGTGGTTTAGCATTTCAAATGTCCTGTTACGAGTTTCAAATTACCTCAATTTTAGTGCATCTACTCTCAAAAATGTGACTCAGCTTAATAAATGGCACGGTCCGGAGTAGAAAGTCAATTTTGTCCCAGCTCAACTCATTAGAGTTGAAACACGAATCGAAGAACAGCATTTGAAAACATTCAACCGCAACATCTGAAGGCTGACAACACTTTCACGTTTGTCACGCTTCCCCTTGACAAGGATTCAGAGAGTGGCAAGAAGTCGGGAGCCAAACAGAAAGAGGAGAAGGCACCCACACCCTGCATCAAGCTGGCGGCCACTGAGGGGTCCAGGAAGGAGGCGGAGAGAAGAGCTGAAAAGAGGGCGGGAGAAAAGGTAGGTGTGCAAGTGCTGGGAACACGGGTGATTCACAATAGTGTGCCTCCAAGAGTTTGATGCGAAATATCTTGACCGTTTCCAAATGCACATCGGGTGGACAGATTTCCCTGACAAATTTCCCGGGTTGCAAATTCGTGGAGCACACTATTGTAAAACGCCTGTATTAACCTTTACCCTAGAATTCTCGTTGAGGGGTGTAGTCCAGTGGTTTTGGGTTTGTGACTCAAGACCAGAGGGGGGATTCGAACCCGCAATAATCACTCAAGCGTGGGGACGCATATAGACATCCCACTACCGTACATGTGTTTGCAATCGCATACTTTAGCGACCATCGTGTTACCTAACTTGAAGTGGGTCAATAACTGCTGCTCCAGATGCATTTTTCATGTCTTGTCTCCGTCTTCGCGTTAGCAGCTGAAATCAGACTCCTCAGACAGTTTCGATCCCCCGTCGTCCAAGCGGCTGCGGTCGGAGAGACAGCGCAAACCGGTCATCGAGGATGACGAGGACGATGACGATGACACCGAGGAAGACAACGACAATGAGGAGGTGGAGGAAGAGGAGGAGGAGTCGTTGGGCACCGAGGACAGCAGCCACGGCGACAGTAACCCCGGTGACAGTAACCACGGCAGCACGGACGCCGACGACTTTGCCGTGGAGATGGGCCTGGCCTGCATCGTCTGCAAACAGCTGGAGGTGTCAGCTGGGAACCAGCTGATCGAGTGCCAGGAATGCCACAGTTTGTACCATCAGGTAAGGCGGGGAACCGGCCGTGCACTGGCTTGATAGTACAGGCCGTGCTTCCTGGATCAGCAAATTTCACAGTTTTCATGGCTTTGTCCAAATGACTCGGCTATGGCTGGCAAAAATGCACAACTCTATGGGAAGTAGCTGCAGCCCCTAGCTAGCGGCTACCACAGGTTCACATTTAATTTTCTGCCACAGCCGAGTAATTTGAACAGTGGCTTTTTCCAAAACTATGACATTAAAACTTGAAGGGAAAAACCCACCGTGCAATGCTTTTAAACACGTCATTTCTTCAGTTTTGTGACTTCAACGCTGTTCAACGCATGTTGGCATTTAATACAAGTTCACCGGTGTGAATGTACGTAGAAAATGAACTTCTGTCATCAGTGATGTTAACCGCCGAAGTCCGTTGACGACCTGCATGATCCTTCATACAGCAGTGAAGGAACATTCGGCAGAAACACACCTGTCGCCCCAAAAAAGTATATGACCCCATGGATTCCTTGGGGTTTGTGCACATGTTGACGAAAATCTATCCGGCCCTCTCTGCCTTGTCAGCAGACGTGAACCGTATTTTGTGCACACGTGATGTGTGGTCACTGTAGACGTGTGACTTTTTTTCCTGTTATCCATAGCTGTGAAAACTAGTTCATGAATATTCATTTTATTGCCTCTCTCTGCCCCCTTTTGTAGCTGTGTCACAAGCCCCCTGCCAGCGAGGCCGATCCTAACGACCCCCGACTGGTGTGGTACTGCAGTCGGTGTACGCGCAACATGAAGAAACAGGTGGGTGTGTTAGTGTGTAGTTGGATCTGCAAAAGGTTGTTGGTGGACAAAAATGTGCGTTTATGTCTACTCGACATGAGGCTTCCGCTCACCAGCTAAGAGGAGACAGGCTGGTGGAAACTGAGTCATCTGGCTCTTGCTGCAAAGAAATTGGCTTTGTGCGCTCAGTGCATGCTGAGCTAAACTCCCATGAACCTGCGTATGCTTGTGGTGGGTTCCCACTGGAAGACCATCTCTCCTGCTTAAAAGCAGGTCGTCCCTTTTTTTTTACTGCAATTTTTTTTTACGTCATCAGAGAGGGTTCCAGTTGTAAACGACTAAAAAAATTACGAAAATGTCAACACAAACTTTTGAAAGCTGTCAACCTTTCAGAAATGCATTCCAACTTCCACCACCCTGCCCTACACTTTTAGTCACTTCCCAAAAGTTCAGATTTGCATCCAAGGAATGCATTATCACAGTGTTGAATCACTGTCACCTTCATGACAGCGAAACAAGCCAAGCAACAAGTCTCTGCATGCGTCGCATGTGACTCAGGCCGTGTCCGAAACGGGCTTCCAGAGCTACGGCTAGGTCTATCGTCTACGCGTCTCCACCCATTTCCAGTAGAGCAAAGACCTAGACCTAGCTCTAGACAACAGCCTCGGATGCAGCCTCAGAACTGACGGGGTTGCATTTACCACGGGTTAATTTAGAATACACCTTCCCATCGGTTGAAAAGAGCCACGCTGGTCGGGAGTGCTCATTGCGTTGGTAGCAATGAGACCCAACCGTGTGCGCTTCATCGTCATTTGTGAACCAGCAAAGTGCCGTTCTGACCGACGGAGCCTCTGTTGCTAAGACAGTTGTGCCCTCTCTTGGTCCAGCTCGAGGCTCATGCAGGTACGTCTTCCGTGTACCTCAACACGCATATCCCGTCACCATGTTGAAGCTGTCGTGGAAATGAAGTCCAGCTTTCCACGGTTCTGTGAATTGTAACAGGGTTTCCGCATTCTGTTTGGATTCTCAAATACGTTCATCTCTTGTCAACTTGTGTATCTATTGTGTGTGTGTGTTTTGAGTAAGGCCACGAAAAAAGTGAAGAACTCGAGTTCGACCAGCCACGTGGCCAGAGAGAGCAGCACCAAAGAAGTGGAGGTCAAGGCCGACTCGGAAGTACTGAACATCTTCAAGAGGGCGGAGCCTAAGGTATGCCTTCCCTGTTTACTAGGGCTTTGAAAGCAGGGTTTGGGTAGGGTTTAAGGACGGTTGTAAAATGCCCTTGTGAATTTTCCAGAGTTGGGGTCGGGTAGTCATGAGCCAATCACAAGCTGTTTCCACAAGTCAGTTCGTAAGTCACTTCACAAACCAGGTTGGAACCAAAGCAATAGACCTTTATCTTAAAGTTGCCATGTTTGTCTTGTTCCCTGTAGGCCCATTGGCAATAGTAATACAACTTCACATGTTAATAATAAGGATCAGACTATTTTTCCTTCCAGCCTTTAGTTTGGTTGCTTTGCTTTGAATGGTAGAAAAGCAAGATGGCTGCCCCATGATAGAGGTCTATGGACAGTAGCAAAAGAATGACTTTGCCGATGTCCATTTCAAGCAGCTTGCGAGTTGACTTTTAGACTGGATGACTTGTGACTGCCTCTGATACAACTCTAGAATTTTCAAATTGTTTGCTTAACTTTGAACTCCTCGGCAACCCTGAATGTTCAAAGTAGCCCCGGAGACTAGGAAAACATCCTGTCTGCCGTTAATTTTTTTGTTGAAAGACGACAGAAGTCTGAATGACTTAATCACACAGTTGACCTGTATTGCTGTGTATGTTTCTCAAGCAAATGTCCCCAACGGTGACACCGATCTGTGCATGTCTGTCACAAGGTTGGACTTGCGTGGGCACGGTTGACAGGATGCACCTGTAAGTACGTGAGCCAAGAAAGCGCCGTAGTCATTGAGTCAGTAACCAGATGGTCATCAATGCCAGATGGTCAATTGACAAAACTTGTTCAAGTTCCTTGAAATGTGGGGGCTGAGGTTGAGCTCTTCCAAGGAATTATATTTCTTTGAATTGAGCAAGCTTAAACTTTGAGAAGAAATCGATAGTAGCCGTCGTTTACCCTCATTTAGTTTTTGTCTTGATTGGTCAAAGGGTGGTGTGTCATTGGCATGGGAAATCATTCTCACAAATCGGTAACATTTGCCTGAATGAAACATACTCCAGACATTAGTGGCCTTCCATGAGACTCGTCGGCCGGGTCATAATTTCTTTTATTGTCCATCCGATGAGTTGGTTTGTTTTGTTTTTAATTGCAGTCTACTACAGCTTCAACGTCAACCGGTACAGCCAGCAAGACACCGTACACCGGCCTGGCAAGCTTCGCGGCCAACCTCACGGGGCGGTCTTCGGCGAACTCAAAAGCCGCTGCCGCAAGTAGCAGGCCGCCGGGCATCACGGGCAAGCCGGGATCAAAGGTTAGCCCCGTTCCGTCCCCGGTGAACAAGACAACCCCGGCCACCAGCGCCAAGAGCCAGCCGTCCACGGCGAAGGCCGGCAGTGGACACGCGGGGAAGAACTTGCCACAGGCGAGCACAGCCTCGGCGATGAAGCGGCTGCAGCAGATGAAGAAGAAGGCATCCTCGAAGCGCTGACGGCGACTTCCCCTCCTCGGCTCGTCAGGATCATCCACGGGGCAGCAGGGCTAAGCCAAATATCGTACTCCTGCAAAATCTACGGCACAACTTTAACAACAGTTGAAAACAGTACAGTCAGTTCTACTTCCCATAGAAATGCCACTGCGCTCTGTCGCTTCTCATCCACATTGGGGCTAGCCGAAGTGGCCGACCCGCTGAGCTGGTCACTCAGGGAAGTATTTCAACATGGTGGGTGAAAACATGGCGGCTTGTAGTTGAAGAGTGTTCAGGAAACTTGACGCCCCGTTAGCTAACATTAAAGGCTTGGTTACATTTCACCGTATTTCCCTGTGAACTGCTAACCAACAAATATGGCTTAGCAAGTTTATGTGTTAAGCAGAAGTCAGTTGGGAACCAGCCTAAAACAACATCTATGTTTTATTTGACTTTTTGGCCGGTTAGCCAGACTCGACAAAGCAAATATTTCTGCTTGCTTAGCAGATTTCTGCTCTTACCAGCCCCATAAAATAGGCCTTAGCCTAACCATGTTCCATGTTTTTCTATCAAAGTTCAAGTTATGCTGATAACAATGTAGACAGATGTAGTTGGTACATTTTCCGTAAAAAGGAATTGTTCATTTCCATTTTATACCTCAATAAATTCTGCCTATACTCAGCCAACAATGTGTATGGGAAATGATGTGTCTCCAGACAAGAGTTGCAAGTATTGTAGGGCTGGAAACCAGCAGCGATTTCTTTCTTTTGACAGGATGCTGACCAATCGAATTCAGCGGATGAGGTCTTGAATATGTATCAGGTGTGACAACCGAGCACAGAATCATGCATATTCAATGTTTGATTTCTTTATGCGCATTATTTATTAAGTCATTGCTAAGAGCTGAAGTCACCTTCAGTCCCAATTTATATAAGTACATGCACAATATTCGGAAGTTGAATTTGACCAGAATCGGGTCATTTCGCCCAGTTGTGTTTGGTAAATTCACAGTAGGAAAAAAAAAACAAGCGGCCAAGGCTGTGCTATATCTAGTTGAGCTCGACTTTTTAAAATTTGTTTTTCAACTTTTGGCTTGACGTTCCCCAAAATGATGAAAAATATTTGCCAAATCACATTTTGTTTTAAATGGAAAAATGATCATTAACCGCAAAAAGGTATTTTCACATAAGTTGAATGAAAATGACTACCGAATCTAGGAGTATAGTCCTATTTGTTCCCTCGGATGACAGAAAGAGTTGTGTCACATTTCAGAATAATTTGCATTCCAAACACTCAGTATTATTCCTGCTGTCAGTTTCCCCTTGCCAAAATCCTTAGTTGCTGGCCAAGCAAAATCATAGAGCGGGATCCGTCGATGACAGTACCGTTATTTTCGGACAATAAGCCGCCCGGTGTATAAGCATGTGTAAGCCGCACCGTAGCGCTGACGATCCAGCCACGAAGATGCTTTATGTTGAAGCCCAAGTACAGTGCGTCATTGGTTCCACTCTACGTGCAATCCTAACAAATCTAAGAAAAATGCGAACAAGTGTCGCCATAAAAAGTGAATTTTAAGTCCCCCAATTTAATAACTTTTGCAGGCTGGATATGATTGTCCGGTTTTGGCCATGCAGCAGCTGTTGTCCCATATTTCCAGCGGCCAGCAAAAGCTATGCCGTCGGGGACGTACAATAAAATCTTGGTAATTCGAAATCAGTTAAGTCGAAAGATCGTTTTATCTCGTAGGCCGACTATTTATTGCCCCAAAATTGGCGTAATACTGTGTAATACGTACTTTGAATACACCTTTTTGTTGAAATATGATATTCAGGGTATTTTAAAGAGTTAAATTAGGCCGATGTTCCGATAGTCAGCCGTACCACATCCGTCGTCATTTTACACGCTTTTGCAGACGCCGGGTTGGGAGTTGCAGACGAAGTCGTTGGGGTCCTTGCAGCGTGGCGGCTGGCAGTAGAGACCGAGATTCTTGGAGCATTTGCCCATCATTTCAAGGCCTCCGCACGGTTCGTTGTAACCCTGCGAACGACAGCAAAGGCACAGATCGCGCGCAAGAGGTTGTTACAAAAAACACTCGAGAAATTGATGAAAGGTTTACATATCTTACGAAACGAGAATTCTTCCCGAAGTCACATTCAACCCCAATTGAGTTAAATCATAAAACCCTTAGACATTTGTCTACCTTGCCATATAATAATATAATCATGAGTAAAAAGATACTGTAACAGTAGGACGACCCCCCTCCATTCAATGGCGGGTCCGTGTCCCAATTTTCCGGGAGGTGGCAGTTTTGGTTCGGGGGAGATCAAATCATTGGTGACTGTCTCCTGAAGTTAGTTTGACATGCTTTTGGAAGCATGGAATAATTTTCCCAAATCGCTGTGCATTTTTTCCACATACAAAATTGTTCCTTTCGGGTGCAATTGCCCCGCCCCCCCCCGAACCGGTTCTGCCTTGTTCGAAATTATACGTATACTCCACCCCAAGTAGTATTTATTACTTTATCCATGATCTCCTTCCTATTGCCACGAGTTTCTTAGATTGCGGCCTACCTTTGAGCAGACATCGCAACATCCACAGTAATCCTTAACCAGCTCCGCCCCCTTGGAGCAGTCGGATTCCTCCACGGGAACACACTTCACCTCAGAACAGGGCTTGCATACCAGGCCCTGTCCCCTACCGAGACAAGAACAACATTTCTTTGGGAAGAGCCACACCATTGCACGAAGTTCTAGGCCTACTTACGCGCAGTTGTACAGAACATGGACGTTTCCGACTACGGTATTACCTGGCTGCGGCTCGATGAAAGTCTTTTCTGACAGAAATTGACAAGTCTTGAAGTTTAAATGCAAAGAAAACTTTCATGGAACAACAAAATACCAAGACCCAACAGACGTTTCAAATCGCCAGAACTGGCTGCAGTGCCCGGCAATTTTACTGCCAAAACAAGAGGGCCCGACATTCCGATTCAATCGAAAATTTCCTCTCACAAAAAGATGTTGCCGAGCTCGGTATACCGAGCGTCTGTGACAGTAAAGTGAAATCAAACTGCCAGTGAACAAATCAGTTACGTACCCTTGGATGCAGATAGCAAAGACGGCGAGTACCACAGCAATCATCATGTTGCACTGTCCTTCCTCGTCAAAAGGATTGACACAGAAACTTGAGCCTGGAGACGAGACTAACATGAATATCAGGGTTCCGACTCCAAAATGGTATCCAGCAGTTCCCACAAATTCATTTATAGGCCGACATGTGAAATTATGCAAATCAGCCTCACCAGATGTTTCAACCGAAGGGGAGGGCGGAGAATAATTGAAGTTAGTTTAGTGCGTGGAATAACAGATTTCTTCACATTTTTTTCTGAACAAAATGCGGGCAACAATTTCTGAGATTTTGCAAATATAACCAACATATTCTGAAATTTTTTGACCCAAAACATCGTACTTGTCCAGTAGCATCAATTGAAAATAATCGATAGCGATGTGTTTTCTATACTGTTTGGAAATATAGAGTTCAAACTGATCGATAACAGTTGGGTATATAGAAGGAGGGAAATGAATAGGCCTACTTGAGAAAAAAAGCCTTGCTTAGGGACGCAATAACTAACGTGATTGCCACTATTAGTGGATTAATTCCTGGCATCTTTGTTTCTCTAATTAGGTCTTTGGCCCCTCATCGCGTTCAATCCCTCCCATACCCTCAGTAATTACATATTTCAGAGCACTGATCTGATATTGTATTCCTGTCGTTAAGCTCTCTACCCGTTTTGGAAATGGTACCAACCTTCGATTTCTTGCTTTTTAGGTTCGCCGAACAAGACCCACCATCGCTCAAACTTATTAAAGGCCTTTTCAGCGCAAAACCTATCTCAGCAAAAGTCACACAAAAGCCTCTAATTACCGACACCTGTCGGAGTTGGCAAATTGACCCTAATGCACGATAAAGAACAGTAATCCAATATTTCCTAGTTAAGACGGTTAAATGTTTCGTTCGTATTGATTTGCCCACCTTTTCACTCTGTGAATGAATGGTTCTTGCCGACCCCGTCCTTGTTGCATTGTTTCTTTTGCGCCAGCTGGTTGTCAATATTGGACCCATTGACCGAAATGTAAAAAAAAAAATAAACATAAGGCTTGTGTTCCTTGCCGCAGCTTTTGTTCAGTGTCTTCATGGATACCGGATGGTCGCTTCTATTTTCTCGCTCCAGAACTCCATTCTTTGAATTATTCCCACTTTTCTTCTATCCGTTTAATTTCACGGCTACCCGATGAAGACTTGATTGAAAAGTTCAAAAATGGTAAAATCCGATGCCAACGACATTTGTAAGGGACTGACATGATGACAACATCGGGTTAATCACGAGTCTGACACACTGAGAATTTTTTAAATTATTTTAATATTTTTTTGTGCTTTTCAGAATTTTATTTTCTTTTTGGTTTTTTTGTGTTTTATAAAATCATACATTCTGGAGATTCTTGCAGTTTGCCTTAGTGATAATAATTGCTGTTGATGTGAGCCTAAGTTGTCTTCATTTGCTGCCAGCGATGGATAGTTACAGCGACTCAGCTGAATTCTAGAGCGGAGTTAGTCTTCCCGATGAAGAGGTTGTTAGGACAAGTTATATTGTCATGACTGTTTCCAACTGTTGCAGCTGATTTTCTCAGCTGACGATTTTGTTTGTAATTTCCCACTGTTCAGATTATTTTGATTACACGCCGATCCTTTTCTTTTTGTCAAAGTGATTTCAAATTCATTGTATTCCTTGAGGCCTCAAGTGAAGTTTTAGTTATAAATTCCCCAAATAATTACCTGTTGTGTCGATTTTCGTGTTGTTTATGATGCTTCCGTTTTAAATAATTGTTGACACTTGAAGCTGTTCGTGTCCTATTTTGATTCGTAAGGTTTTTGTCTGAAATGATTGTAGAGTCCGAATTATCCAGGGTTGGCCTCTTACATCCAGAGGCTCCGTGCCAAAAATATGATT